ATAATATGTTTGTAATAAATAAAACCATGACGAAAATGCTTATATTTAGTTTCTATCACACGTGTGTGGCCTATATTATAAATAAGATAAGCCCTATGTCGTATTGTTTTCTATATGGGGAGTGGGGTGGGGCGGGGTGGGTATGGTAAATTACTAACTGGGAAATGAGGATTGTATGTTGTTATTATTATTATTATTATTATTATTATTATTATTATTATTATTATTATTATTATTATTATTATTACTATGTTGTAATGATGTTGTTTGTACTGTTCTTCAATTTTATTAAAGAGGGCCCCTGAATATCAGTTAACCTACTGGGCTAAACTAGAATGGTTACCCTCTTTAAAGATGGTTGAAATAAAAAATTTAAAAAAATAAATACCCATTCTGACCCAAGACCCCTGTTACGCGCCTGGTGTTAGCGCCAATGTGTACCTTTGTGCGGACAGGAGATGTGCTCGCTCTGAAGCTGGAAACCTTGTTTTTGCAAAATAAATTAATGCAATTTACTATTATAGGCCTAATCAATAAATTCCTCATCAACCGATATAACCTTAAACATTCTTGGAATTGACATTACTGATGTCGTACACACTCTTCAGTGTGAAATTTGCCTCTCTTTGCAAGCACATCTAGCATCTAAGGAAAGAAGAGCTTAGATTGGTACCAGATAAAATAATTTTGTTATCAACATTAATACATTATGCTCATTTTCATCTTTATAAGCGCATAAGACAGTGCAAATTATTTCTGTGACAGTCTTTTGAAGTGTGTAAAGCTCCATTTTATCCCATACATAGTCAAAATATTGGGGGGGGGATGATACAATGGACCATCCCCCTTGTCAAATATTGGGGGGGGGGAAATTGGGGGATCCCCCATCCCACGGGATCTACGCCTATGGTAAGCCAATCAGTTACACTTACTATACATCTTCGTGTGGTTATTAGCATAAAGAGAACGAGAACGTCGCTCCATTAGGAGTGCCTACCACCCCCCATATGCCTAAATACAGAATTTACGAATACAGGCGATTTTTTGTTCATGCTCGAGGGTGGGTTTAAAGGAAACTTTACAGACGCACGTATACAGACGTCAATCAACATTTGGTTGCTCAACTTAAAAAGGGAAAAAAATTATACACATCTAGATGTGTATAAGAGACAGATATATATACTGTATATCTTTTTATATATATTTGATAATTTTTGCATATATAATAACGAGTCTTACCATACATTGTAACTGTGAAGTTACAGTTGCCAATGTCAAAATCGTCTGTGGCATTACAAGTTACAATGGTGCTGTAATTAGAGAAAGTGCTTCCACTGACATAATCACATACCGCTGTAAAGCTATACCCAGAATTGTCTGTAACATTCGGCGGCTTCCAGGAGGCAGTTGCCTTGCAGTCCGGACCAGCTGTTACAATCTGGTTTGAAGGACATTTAAGAATCGGTGGTCCATTGTCTGGTAAAATTATGAATGGTTTTATATGATTACAAATTTAAAATAATAAATATTAAGAAATATATGTTAAAAAAACTTGGGTGTTTAGGCCTAATCAACTTAAATTATTTGGCTGTTATTCATTTTATATAGTATTTTGTAATCAATCAGCCCGAAACTAGTATAACCCCACATTAAATGTCTCAAAATTTGATCAAATTATCTCAATGAAACATTTTGTAAAAGTTAACCAAGGTACAATAAAGAATTATGTTTTGCTTTGCAATTAGGACATATATTTTGGTAGATTAATTTTATAAAAAGGGATGTGCGTTGGGCGGAGGGATATGCTCTCTACTGAGTGTTATTGCTATTATATAATCATCATTGTCATCGTTATTATTATCAACAATATTAGGTAGTTTTCGCCGCACGACGTTAACCTTAACTTTAACGTTAGTACCCAACATGCAGCACGATAGCTCCGCCCCTTTTGTAAACAAATCGAAATACGCATTCACGAACCCGTAACTAACGTACGTTGATGACATAAAATCGTGAAATTAACGTACTGCGCAACGCGAGATGAATACATTATGACGTCATCCGTTAACGTTAGGGTTAATGTCGTGCGGCGAAAACTACATATTTATAGTGATAGTGATAATAGACTGGCATACTATCTTGACAAAATTGACCATGATAGTTGTCGGTGCATGTACAGAAGTAGCCACTTGATGAACTGTCCTTTCGACAAGATCCACCATTGAAGCAACGATGACCCTGAACACAAGAGTCGACATTACCCTAAACAAATATAAATACAAAACTTAAATTATTGGTTACGCATATTTACGGTAAAATAATTCTTGTTACATGATTTGCTATTTTTATATAAAACAATTTTAACAGAAAAGAAAAAATGAAGCTTAGAGATAAATCTAGATTTAGAGCTTTTTGGCCTCTATTTAACAATATTTTTTTCAGATGATAAAAATATCACCAAGGCAGCATTCAAAAAATGATAGTAGTTCTTACCTGTATGATGTCTGTATTATTATGCACATCATAAAACCATACACCTGCTGCAGGTATAAATGACACGTTTTCTGACTCGCTGTCATTTTCATATATTTTGCACAATGATGAGCTGGTTGCATAGGAAAATGCCAAGCAGAGTGGATGCTTACGACACTTTATTAGGCATACATACTTTGAAATGCTTTTAATAGTCTTGATTTCATTCTCCATAGTTGTATTTTCGCGTCCGTAATACTTAAATGTTGTGTCTTTCATGTTGCATTTCGTGTACCCGTCAACCAAATTGACTATCGTGATTGGTATTATCAATGTAGCTAACATTTTCGTTGCGATGTACATTAGATGTTATAAAGCTTTAGCTGTTTATCAGTTAACTTGCTTTCCTGTCTGAGAAGTGTTTGTAATGTTTAATGGTTTAATACAGAGCCGTAGATAGAGAGAGTTTGGCCGACTCTGTTACACGGGATTCGATATACGCGCGTGTGATTGGGTGGATCGCAATCACATGACTTACACCGGCCATGTTGTCACCAAAACAAAACATTAAAGCTATATGCGCGCATGCGCCTGGGCTGTTTGGAAAGGACATGGCGTCCATGCACCAAGTTGGCCGAACTTTCTCTATCTACGGCTCTGGTTTAATATAGGCTACGGTCACACTAGAGTTTCCAAGCCTGGCTTTACTCACCGCGGGTGAGATTTTCGTAATGTGACCGCATCTGCACCGACTCGCGCCTGGCGTGACCTCGATCTCAATCTACCTATCTCGATCCCGGCTCAGCACCCATATTGACCCTGGGTTGACCCTGGCGTGACCGAGATTGACATTTCCTCGTCGGCTGTCGACCAATCACAGTCGATAACGACGTTGCGTTTACAAGTTCTTGAATAAAAAACCCGCGAGTTCTTCATGTGTGTTCAATCAAGACGCAATCATTACTTTTCATAAAAGTTAATTCAAATTTTAATTAATAATAATGCGATTGATTTGGAGCGACCAGGAAACTGCTGACCTGGTAGATTTGTGGGGCACACCCGAGCTGAGAGACCGGCTAGAAAATAAAAAAAACAAACAACAAAACGGGAATTTTTGGCGTGCTTGCTGACAGATTAGCCAGTCTCGGACATGAGAAGAGAACGACGGCCCAAATTCAAACTAAAGTGAAGGCATTGCGAGCCCAATACAAGCTGATAAAAGATCAGTTGAAGAAGAGTGGTTCGGGCACGTCTGGTGCAAAATCTTTGATTGCGATCCACCCAATCACACGCACGTATATCGAATCCCGTGAAACAGGCTCTGCTATTTCGACTTTCATAATTTAGAGGTCAATCCAACTAGTGTGACCGACCCAGAATTTTTAGCCTGGCTTGAAATCTCACCCGCGGTGAGTCAAGCCAGGCTTGAGACGCTAGTGTGACCGTAGCCATAGAGTTCCTATATAGAGAGAGTTGCGACATGAGCGGATCAGGTCACGTGACTACTGGCCGCCCTCTATCTGTCGTCTTGGTGCCCCATTGATCAAGTCAATGGTGCGTTGCCAACATAACAGAAATAAGATAAGCTTCGGGGCAAAATTATTGAACTCATGTTACTTAAAATTCCTTAACTCCGTGACGCAGAATCGTATCACATTATTTTTTTCTGGAAATGTTCTTAAAAGACTATTCTACACCACTATATAAATTTTAAGATATGAAAAAAATGTTTCGACCTCTGCCACAAGATGGGAAAAAAGAGCCTATCTAAATAGTGTAATAAAATAGGCCTCTGCAGTAGAGTTCGCAGGTAGGGGCAGTACAGGCCTAGCTAGCTAAAAAAGTAGCGTAGTACTTTTTCAGTTAGCGTATGATTTACGGATTTCTCTTATTATGTACTACTAGTTACTTTTGAGATACCATCGGACTGGGACCCTATCTGAGACGTGCCACAAACACCCATTTACTGTACGAATTTGTAAGTTGTCCAGCGAAAAGGCCTAGGCCCTGTCGCTTACTATTTATGAGCCGAGCAAACGCGATGTTGCACGCCTTGCTAAGGCGCTATGAAATTTTGGTCAAGCAAAAACTGCATGGTATATAATCATTAATAACAGCATATTGAGAATCAATTTCTTTTGGAATTTTGTTATAAATTTCAAACACATGTTGATTAACAGATATATACTATCAAATGACATAAAATTTTCTTATTAATATTTTTATTTATTTTTTTCAATTCTATTATTTTTGCAATCTCCACTCTGTAGCATAGGCTTTGTGGTCACTCATGCATGTAAGGCACCAAGATGGATACCCAGCAGCGTCTCATGTTGCAACTCTCTCAATATAGGAACTCTAGTTTAATAGCAGTCATGCTGCCCTCTATAGTTCAATAAAGAAGACCTCAGTAATGGCGATTCCAGTGTAAAACTTGTTGTTATTGTTGTCACAATATATAAGTGAAATATCCTGTTAGTGGATATCATATTGGCGTCGAAGATGATGGGCACAGAGTTAATCCCACACTTTGATAGTTTCGAAGTGCATGTATAGGCTAACACCGCTAAAAGGTGAGAGAAGTGGTTGAAAAGTTTAATAGAAATTTGTTCGTTGCCACCAACATTAGCAACGCGTCAAGGCAGAAAGCCCTACTTATGTGCCTGCTAGAACTACATGGTTCTTAATAGACTATGACTAGGATTATGTTATACATTTATTACCTGGGGGAAACACTGACACAGTCGCATGGTGCATGGACTGATGACAGAGTGAAGAGTTTCGCTGCAATTCGTGACGAGTTAACGCTTGTGAATGATATCATATTACGCGGTCATAGAATCGTTATTCCGCAATCGCTTACGGATCGTGTTGTTACATTAGACCCTGTTACTGCGCGATAAGGTATGGTTTCAGAAAATGGACATATTGTCTGAAAATACCGTGAAGTGTGTTGAGTGTCAGATTGCCACAGATGCGAAACCAAGGGAACCATTACGTATGGTATTACCATTACGTAACTAAGCTACCCAAAGCACCGTGGCAGGAAATATGCATGGACTCTGGAGAGATAGGCTCTAACTGTATGCTTTGATTATAGTAGATGATTTCTCGCGCTATCCAGTTGTGTCCACTCCACTTCTGCAAAAGTGGTAATACCGAAGTTGGACAAGGTATTTGATATGTTTGGGATACCTAACAGTTGTCAAGACAGATATAGTCCGGCAGCTTAACGGATGGATGTGGACGTTCCGGACAAAAGCACTATTTTTTTTACATGCTCCTTATGGTCATAACATTCAATTTTTGGTAGGAACCACCTCATCCGAGATCATTATGGCCGCAATCTTGGATTTCAAAATGGCCGCCCTAAATAACCTATGTTTATGTATATCTCCGCTTCTAAACCACTTGGAAGTATAATTCTAATGTCTGAAAGTATGTTTATATGGTCAAGGAATACTATTATACCATTTTTATCCAGGTCAGATTGCCACAAATAGGTCATTTAAGGTAATTAAAGGTCATTCAAGGTCAAATATTGTATGATATCTTAAAAATTCTATAACTGTCATGTTTTACATCAGAATCATACCCAGCCTCTCAGAATTCAAAATGTTTATATTATCTACAGTACTTCATGTGAGGTCATTCTGGCAGCCATCTTGAATTTCAAAATGACTGCCACGCAAAACCTATATTTATCAATGTATCAGCTTTTAAACCACTTCCAATAAGAATTATGATGTCTAAAATTATATTTTCATGGTCAAAGACTTATTCTACTTGTCAGATGATCTGTTGGTCATTAAGGTCATAAAAAGGTCATTTAAGGTAATTCATTGTCATTTTTTGTTAGATATATATATA